ACCATTTCGCAAAAGCTCCAAATCTGAGTTTACTTAACAATCCCCCTTACCCCACTTACTGCGATTGCAATATTTTATTTTTACGGGAACTGGATAATCGGGTTTATTAAAAAAAGGGGGAAGTTTCTCACAACGCAGCAAGTTTTAGGGACTACTTGACAGTTCTAAGCCAATATTTGCACTCATTACCTAAAAATGCAGAATTCAAATACGGAGCCATTTAATTTTGACGATAAATATTCTAAGCTATGAAGACGACTTCGACGATTTTGAATCTTGAAGACATTTAACGCGCATCAGCAATCATTCAACTCGCTCCATTAACAGCTTCTCCTGGCTTTGTATTTGGAATATTTGTTCTTGGTTTTATGGAAAATGTTGACAGTCTAACTTGGATTCTGATCAAAGTTTCGAAATAACCCATTCTATCCTATTCATTTCATTCTTTATTTGGGAGCTTTTTTTGCTCTTACGGCAGATCCGGGTAAAAAAAAATCACTTAAAAATTGTTTTTTTTTTCTTTTCTTTTTAAATTTTTTTGTAAAATGTTTATAAAATGTGACAGGCGAATATGAAAGTATTTTGGTTGCAAAATAATTAAACTTCCAGAATGAAATACACTGATTTTAATAAACGTATTAAAATGCTTATTAAGTTATAAGTTGGACAAAGTCGAGCACATCGGTAGAAAAATGCAAGTTGTTATATTGTGGCGTTTCTATTTTTTTTTTTTTTTTTTTTGATGAATCATACTATGTGGCTGTTTACGTACATACATATACATATACATATAAGCTGAACAGAGTTGCGTACTAATGGAATGGAATTAAATAAGCCTGTACTGCATTTGGTATTTCACTATTAGCATGTCTCTTAAACTCAATATACTCGTATGAACATTCATAAAATGAGATCCGGTTTATGGCATTTGATAAGTGCGCCTTTTGGTCGGGGAAAATACGTCTCTAAGCGCAACGCTTAATGAAATTCTTAGCATCGGGCCATACGCTTTTGGATTTGCCCAAGCATACTTGTATATTCATATATTTTAGATTTATCAACTTTCTTTGGGTTTCGTTGCTAAAGCAATAATCATTTGTGTTTGTGATATTCAGTGAGGTGGATGTTAGTTACAAAACTTTAACATCAATTTAAAACTTACAACTAATGAAAAACATACATGATCTTAGGATTGCATATGGCATTCTTATTATAATATTTGTGCTACTCAGATGTTTATGTATGAAGTGTCGGCATCGCAGGGATGAAGTAAATAATGAATGTTAGTATTAATGTATTAATGCTCGTATGATTAGTGTTATCAATTAAATATTCAGTTATGAATGCAATTTGTCAAATGTCGCTACCTAATTAATAACGACGAGCTGTGGTGCTTTCCAAAATTAAAACATGTATTCGACGTTCAGGCCATACTCGATTCGATTCACGTAGATAATGAACGCGTCAATATTTGAATTTACTTTCTGGGACCATATCGCTGTGAAGATGCATCTCAATTGGCAATTTATTGCCATTGAGGTTGTCAGCTTAGTATTTTTAATTGTGCTTGTGGTAGCTTATGCGAATACGGTTATAAAAAATGACCGCGGACTACCAATGATTATTGAAAGTCGAAATTTTTGAAAACTACTTGTATTTCTGTTATTTACTCTGTTAACACTTGAGAATTAATAATTTGTTGGCATCCGATATCAATATGCTATAAAAATACTCTGTCGGTCAGAGCTTAAAATGTTGTATCACTATTCAGTTTTGTAACTTATGGAATAGCAACTTCAAAAACAATGGATTACTTTAATTCCTGCACAACGAATAATAAATAAGTTAAATTCGTGTGCCACGACTTTGAAAAACTCTGTATTTATGTGCAATATTTGGAATTTTAAATAAAATAAAGAAATTGAGGAAAACAAACAAATAATCTGTACCTAGTATGTCTACAACTATTGAATTCATAAATTCCAAGAATTTCTATTGCAAAGCACTAGTAGCGGGGGAGTGTGGGAAAGGAGGAAAATTCTGAAATACAGTTGTTCTGTGGTGTCTCTAGCTCTTATAGTCTTTGAGATTTAGGTGTTTATATGGATAGACAGACAGAAAGGGCTAAATCAACTCGTCTTGCCATGTGATCAAGAATGTATATAATTTGTCATTTGTTATAATATTAATCATTTTCACCAAGAATTAGAAATCTTTCTAATTAGGAGCTCCAGATAATAACTTTCTTACTATGTTCTTCCACCCACCTTATCGCCTTTACCTATAAAGAGTACAGTTGGCTCTCTCGCTCTCTGGCACATACATTCATTGACGTTTTTGTGATAGGTATAGTTTTTATACCTTTTTATTATTCTTATCCGACCAATCCGACAGCGCACGTTTCTATGTCAGTTGGCGATTTGGTTTTGTTAAGCAAAGCTGCGAAAGTGATCGAATTGTAAAATCTTCAATCTTCAAAATGCCTGCAGGGTTTGGCCTTTTTCTAGCCATGACTATTTTTGGCTTCGTTTTTCTGTTCTTAATTTTCCTAAGTTGCTTGTGCCATGCAAAGAAACGGAGCCATGCGGCTAGTATTTCAAATGGTTAGTACGTGAGTAAAAAACAGAATGAAAAACAACAAGTGTTCGGTCCAGACATCATTTTCTGACTTTTTTTTTTTTTTGTATATATATATATATATATATATATATATATATATATATATATATATATATATATATATATATATATATATATATATATATATATATATATATATATATATATATATATATATATATATATATATATATATATATATATATATATATATAAAATATTGTTAAAATCGTGGTCGGCATTTAGCCTGCATTATAATTTATTCCTATCTAATGTTAAAAACAAATTTCTTTAATATACCTTCTGGGTTTGGTTTTTTTTTTGTTAATGCGTCAGTTAATAATCATAATTATAATCAAAAATACTGAGCGTAAATGTTAGGTTCAGATAATACAGATAATAAATTTCTGCCTACTGGCTCCTGCTTTATCTGATTTACCTGTTAATAGTACAGTTGGGAGCTGCTCCCAAACTTGTGGCCACACATACTTACATACATGCTTGTGTGCTAGTTACGGTACTTCACACTGCGAATGATTCATTCCCGTCTAATCAATCCGACAGCACGTTTTTTGTATTACTATATTAATGTTTATATTATTTTTGCCAGTCAGCGATTTGGTTTCATTACACACAGTTGCAAAAGTGATCGGCATTTAGCATACATAATAATTACTATACTTCTTATATTCAAATACCTATAACATGGCTCCTGGGTTTGGTGTTTTTGTAGCCATAACTGTTACCGGCTTCTTTTCAATGTTCTTAATTTTCTGCTGTTGTTTGTGGTTTGTAAAGAGACAAAGTCGTGCCGCTACTTTTTCAAATGGTTAGTGCGTGAGTAAATAAACAGAATTTAAAACAAAAACACAGAGTGTAGAGTAAGTGTAAGTTGGCTTTAAAGAAAAGCCAATGGAACAAACTCAAAGAAACATAATTATTGAAATTCTCCACTTAATTTTTCCGTTTCTGCAAATCGCTTGTGATGAGAATAAAAGACACCAATTAGTCGAAGCGGACAGAAAGTGTTGTCGATTATTAATGTAATGTGACAATTAATATAGCACATTACACATATTTTTGGTCAGACGTCATCGGTTCGGTGATATTTCTTATTATTTGTATGGTAAATCATCTGCAGAATATGCGTATTCTCAGTTGGTTTAGTAACATTCTGGTTGTGGCATCGTCTGTGCGTGAAATGGATAGCAACTTTACTCAGGACGCGTTTACAGAAACCAATGTGACATACGTGTATCCTCAGGAACATATTCACGGGTGGTCACCTCACCAAAATATTTATATTGTTGTGTTTAAAATATTGATTAAAGTCGCTCTAATTGTTAGTATTTGTCTTGGGATTATGAAGCGTCGTCAGCGTAAAGTTAAATCACTTGATGAGAAACGTAAGCTTAACATTTTGGAAAAACTTTAAATTAATTTGCAAGTTTAGAAGTGCAAAAAAAGTTGGCCAGAAAGGGTTAACTGATTAGTGTAGTGCCTATCTTAATGGTCATTCAGCTGATAATGGAATCTTTTTCGGTTACTATCGCTTAAGTGCACAATTGCTGCAATTTCACCATAGTTACTCATTTAGTCTCCTCTTGTGTGCCACGCTATGCACTTGATGGCAAGATTTAAGTATGGATGGTGAACTAATTTGGATACTCTTCCTAACACTTGCTGTATTTGGGGCAACATCAGTGGCTGTGTTTTTAACGCGTGGACGCAGGAAGGCCACAAAGTCCGATGGTAAAGCTAAAAACGGATTAAAATGACCTCAAACTTAAGGTTTACGCCGGAGTTACCTACACATCGGTTGCCTAAAATTACAAATCTTAAAATGTTGGCACCTATTTACTCGTACAAAGTGTTTATAAACCAATGTATATATAGATACAATACAAATATGCAAAAGTACATACATGTGTGCCAATGATTATTATCATTGCCATGTATTGGGTGACAACAATGCCTTCTTATCTTCCGACCGTGGATATTTATATACACATTGGCTATAAACACTTATCAGTACGCTTTTTCACTTGATTAGGCCTCGTTAAGTGCTGGCGATTTTGAAGTGTGTTCGCAGTTCATTTCGACAATCCAACGTAGATACATATTGAGACAGATGACGGGATTCATTATTGCGCTATCCATTGCCCTAACTATATTCGTAATAACTTCAATTGTTGTGTGCATTAAACGCAAACAGAAGGCCAGAAGAAATGTGGGCTATACCATCAGCGAAGGCAATGGTAAAGTCTGATAATTATTGGGCAAATATCTTTGTTTGTTTCTTTAATTGCCATGAGTCATACTCCATTATCTTGCAGTCTTGAGCATATCATTCATAAACTATGTGTTTTATAATTTTGCAGCACCCGTTGTGGTAACCTCAGCGACACACACTGCCCCCAGCGGCTATGTCACTCAGCTGCCGCCGCCAGGATATCAGGCCAATGTCTACGCAGCGCCATATCCAGTTCAAACAACGGGGTAAGTTCTTTAAAGTACATATAGTATGAACATTTCAGATGATTGAATTAAAGAATGCATTACGTTTTTCGATTGGTGTAGCCGAAAGCTTACTGAGTATACTAGAGAGGGAAAGAGATTAATCGTCACTTTAGGGTATTCAAGAGTTGGGCTGGTACGACTCATTCATTTCAAATCAAATGGATTTATTGCTAAACATTTTCTCATTCGAGTAATTAACGGATATTCTGATGAAAATGAGCAACTAATATCCGCTGTTAATAGCAATATTGATCTGATATCAGCCTTTTCCAACTTGGTTTTTGTGTTTTTATTGTTTTCTTGTTTTTTCAGAATAAATGATTTATTTTTTATTGTTTCCTAAGTCAATAATCTCCCCTTCCAAGAAATCGATCCATAAATTCAATTGTAAATCAATTATACGGGTATTTTTTTTTAAATTTATTTTCGGTAGCTTAGAACAGTTTTATATAGCAGTATATAGTAATTACATTTTCTCAATACTTGTAAATATTTTAAATAAACATTTATTTTTTTCCGTTCTGCAGCAATGTTACCGTGCAAATGCCAATGCCACAGTCTATGCCAGGCGCTCAGCCACCAATGGCAGGGTATGTTATTGAATATCATTTACTGATTTACGATGAATACTAAAATTGATAATCGGTCTTCCTTACAGAATGCAAACTCATGGCGTTGCCTATCCTATGCCACAGCCGGGAGCTGGAGTTGCTAACATGAATCCACCTCCTTATGACATGGCCGTGTCTGGCGGACCACAGGGGGGCTATGAGAAGCAGTCACCTTATAACCCCACTTACCCACACTAACTTCGAAGCAACGAGAAAATTATCTTCTAACTACAAATCACAAATAAAATAGAAGCAAATATTTTCTTAATTCGTCGTTTATAAAAGCTTTAGATCGTTTCGAGAAGCATAATTTCTATATGCATTACACTCCGCTAAAATTTGATGTTTGTAAATGTTTAAAATCATGCGCAATCTTGCGCGCTTAAGTAATTTTGCCTTAAAATATATTTCTTGAAATGTAAATATTCCATTGCTATCATTTGATAAAAGCACAACGCGCCATTGAAGTATCTACGTGATTTCATTTTTAAGCGATCATCATATGTGATGTATTCTAAGTTATATACTTTATTTATATTTTCATGTATAAAAAAAAAACGAAGCCAAAACAAAAACAATTTTTAAATAAAAATTTGTTGCCTTTACCACAACAAAAACTCTAATATTAAATCTATTTGTCTACTTATGTCCCAAAAGGTTATTAAGGTTAAGATTTCACTTTTGTTTATAGTAATAGAAACAACCATCATGAAATTTTGTATCTGGTACTGCTAAGTATTTCTAAATTTGAGTTGCACTTTGCCTGAAAATGTCATATCTTTCGACATCATGTATTGAATATGATGGAAACTCAAATTTTTTTAATAAAATATAGACTACTAGCCCCAATTGTATAGTCACATAGTTATTCATTGTTCAATACATAAGTACTTTTGTTGAAAAAGAAGAAAAAACCAGATAAATATCCGACTTAACAGAATTATATGAAAAGCTAATACTTACTCAAAGTTATAGCTTATATCGACAGGGAATATCTGGCTTTCAGCAGAAAATACGAAGATTCAAAGTCTTGAAAAGTTGATACTTGAAACAGATGTGTTCCTTATAAACCTCAAGAAAATAAAAAGGGTTGCTTTTTTCAACAACCCAGCGATAGCATATTAATTGCGATTTTAAGGTGTTCACCGAAACTGAGCTAAATTGTTATAATAGAGGGGGAACAGGCTTGATGGTAAGCCTAATAGGCGATCAGTTGACGAAACGCTGATTGGAAAAATGTTCGCTAGGACGCTGATAGTCTGTTCAATATTGATGAGCATTATGATGGTTAGAACGACTGATTACTGCCGCATCGGGCTGTGCTCTGGAAAGATTAAGCATATTGGCTGCATGAACTTTGGGGTAAGTAACAACGACGTAATTTTTCGATGATAAGTAATTTTCCAAGGCTTCGCCAGGACTTTGACGAGAGCTGCGGGGAGAGTCCAGTAATGCTGAAGTTTACCAGCCAAATGCGCGGCCAAGTGTTATCCACATTGAACACGTTTCGTAATGCCATCGCCCTGGGTCGTTTTAATTCGTATAAGCCCGCAGCATCAATGGCAACGTTACGCTGGAACGAAGAGCTGGCCGGGTTGGCAAAGTTTGCATTGCGCCGTTGCGAAAATTTGGAGGAGTATTGTGCCAATACGTACGACTTCAAGTATGTCTCGTACATTTACGGAAGCACCAACTGGTTGCACCATGAGAAACCCTTGCGTGGTTTACTGGAGTGGCTGCTAACTTATTGGATCAACGATTACAAGAATTGCTCCAGGAACCACATTAATGGAAATCTACCGCCCAAGGATAGGTGAGTACGTTTATTCTGCCCCGCACAACCAATGGTCCCATCCTTAACCCTTAACAGTCATTGCAAAGGCTATTTTACGCAACTTGTCCAGGATCAGGCGGCTCACGTGGGCTGTGCGCTCATGCGGCGAAAAGGACCTACGGGTCTCCTGCAGTATAGCTTACTTTGCCAGTTCTCACGCGGCAAGGTCGCCAACGAGCCGGTCTACCTGGAGAGCTCTAGAGCCGGATCCCATTGCTATGCGGGCGTACACTCCGTATACCATGGGCTGTGTGCTCCGGAAGAGCACATAAACGCTAACCTGCTGCATTCAGAGAAAAAAGAGAAGCGATTTTGATTTGACACGCCGCGCAGTGTTTCAGGGTGGACTTTTTTAAATTTTATAATTAACTTTTTTAACTTTTACGAATATTCTTAATGCAAATGCTGCCTTTTGAAGGCAATTTTTTTGATGCTGCCTAGGACAGAAATTAAATTAATACGCTACTTAATTACTTAACTAAGAAAAAGAAAAACCATACACATAAGTTGTAATAATATCACAAAATATTAAAAAAAAAGAATTAGAACATCGCGGTGGCTCTTTGGAGGGGCATTACAAATAATTAAAACACACACAACTTATTTGAAAATAATTGTTAGAGGGATAAAGTGTATTGTTCCTTGTTGAAGAACCCAACGATTAACAAAGCTGAGTGGGTTATTATTGTTGCATAAATAATTAAAGTAGTGTGAAGATCAAAGCTTAATCTCAATTCATGTGAAGCAACTACAATAAATGAGTAACAGACCAAGCTATCTAACTACCTTAAGTGAAAAATATATTCTTGTAAATACATTTCTTAATTCTACACAATAAATAATCTGTAATGTGTGGCGGTATGACGAATTGGAATCTACGACTGTTCCGTCTATTATCGTCTATTATTTTCGTGGCTAACAGTTCTAAATAGCTCACAACTCTGGGTTCTGAGAAAGCAAGATGTTGCGTTTACTTCTATTGACTTTCGTAGCGTTGCTGCTTCTTGATTGCACTGTGATAAAGGGGGCAAAGGTTGCTTGGCAACATGGCACCGCTGAACATAATAGCAAAACGGATCCTGACATCTTGTGCAAGCCCGAACTGTGCCCTGATGGATCGAAGCACGTTGGTTGCTTTCCAAAAAGGGTGAGTTGACGTGGCCTATTTTATTTTGTAGTATATCTCCTACTTGTATAATGTCGGCTTGCTAGATAATGCATCCGGATTGCAAAAAAAATAATGACACTTTGTCGCCTGTAAATGGAAGTCTGCGGGGCCGTATTTTGATAAGAGTCAATATGTTGCGCAATCTGGTGGCCAGCGGCCTGACCGCACTTTCGGCCGCTGCTCACATGCCTACCATGAGCTGGGACAGAGATTTGGCAACCATGGCAAGATTATGGCTCCGCCAATGCAATCGTGAAGCTAAGTTTTGTGCGAATTTGGATAAATATCATTATGTTGCCACTTCCGAGCTGGAGGGAGAGGTGAGAAGAGGAAGGCCTCTTGTTGATGTCTTAGATAAGATTGTGGCCAACTGGTTGGATGATGTTATGGGCTGTCGCATGGACAACGACCACCGAATTGTGCCCAGTAAGGAGGGGTAAGTCGATAAAAGCTCGTATGGAAAGCTCTCATTATCGGTTAAGTGTATTATCGTATTCGAGGGATGTGTAAGGGAAGTTCTAATAAGTAACTTCTTTGAAATTAGCATTAGTTTTTGCAGGAGCAGTAATTGGGGCCCAAAATTTTATACTGAAATCGAGTGTTGAATGCACCCCCCTGAGCTGAGTTAAAATAGTTTCTCAGCTAAAGTTCCTTTTATAGAACTTTGTAGCAATACGAATTGTTAGGTATAGGGTATAGAAAAAGGGGGCCGCTGAGGCAAACACGTATATAATACTATATGTTAAGTATTATGTTTCATCGGAATATCGTTATCACTTGTTGCACATTTTATTTGTCTCTTACAGAGCCTGCGTTGGTCACTATATACCATTGGTGCAGGACTATGGTAACCACATGGGTTGTGGAATGCGCGCGTACTCAAGTAGTGTGAATCGTACTCAAATTTTCACACTACTCTGCCTTTTCTCGCGCGCCAATGTCAACAACTTGCCGCCCTATGAGATTGGCGAAATTCCTGGCGAGAAATGCACCGCCGGCAAGAGTCAAGTGTACAAGAGCCTGTGCAATCTGGATGAGGTTGTGGACGCAAATTATGTGGAAGATCCAAACGAAGCAACTCCAGGCAGCAAATAGTCATGAGAAAGAAGAAAGAAAACATTTTGTGGATTGTAAAAATATTTGTGAAAACACATGGGGATTTTCGAAATTAATAGAGTCAAATTTGTTTGATCATAGGGTTGATATTTGTTCTGGGAGAAAGAGTATTGCAGCTTCAGGAAAATGATATTGGCTTTCCAGTTATTCTGATGGGGAATGGTGTAGTTGGTAATGGGCGTATCGAATCGTTGAGTTTGATAGCCACGCATGAGCATGAATTTAAATCGATTTCTGCCCGCTAATGCGCCAATGCCACGCCCTGCAACTCTATAAGTAGACTGCGCGTATGCAACAGAGCTGGCTAAATTGGCTGCGTTATCGTAACAGCACACAATGTTGCACACAATTCTGCAGCTCACTGTACTGCATCTGTGCGTCTGGCCGCACATCCTGGGCTTTGACTACTGCGATCCTGTGCTATGCCCCGGTCCTGAGAAGCACATTGCCTGCAATAATTTTGGCGTAAGCTTCCGAATTCGAGATCTATCGTTCACAACCTTAGGAATTTCTCGTTCGCTTTACAGGAGCTGGCCGAGAGTTGCAGTCCGGATGCGCATATAGTACGCATAACACCAGCGCGTCGGGACATGATTCTCAATGAGCTCAATGACTATCGCGATCGTATTGCCCGTGGCGATCTAATGGGCTTCAGTCCAGCCACACGCATGGCCACCTTGCAGTGGGATCAGGAGCTGGCGAGCTTTGCTGAACTGAACGTGAAGCGCTGTTCCTTGGTCAACGATCATTGTCGCAACAGTGAGCAGTTCCGAAATGTCGCTCAGGTGGTGGCCGAGGGTGGATGGCAGGGGGCGCCCAATCAGCAGGCGGGCTCACAACCAGTGGAATACCATTCCGAGGATGAGGTCATCAAGGCCACACTGGAGCAAATGTTTGCCGAGTATAAGGAGTGCAGCATGCGTGACATTATTGCCTATAGTCCACCAATCAACAGGTAGGACCAACTTCCCTCCCAACCTCCATCCCCCTCTAGTTTTCTTGACTGACTCTGAAGAATTTTGCATTTGCGCATCAGCAAGTGCATTGCGTATTTTACACAGCTGGTCCGCGACAGCACCACACATGTGGGTTGCGGAATTCTGCGTCAGACACGCAACACATCCACATCCGCTGCCGGGAACGCTGGCCAGTGGGTGCTCAGCACGCATCAGTATATGACCTGTAACTTTGTGCGCGGAAACGATGTCAATATGCCGGTTTATCAGAGCGGGGATCGGCCAGCAACCGAGTGCCGTACTGGTCGCAATCCGGCATTCATAAATCTGTGCTCCGTGAATGAAGTATACGATTCGGTGCCCGTTGTTGGCTTCTATTAAGTCTCTCTCTCGTCCTCTCCAACTAATTAAAAAATAAATAAATGAATACATGTCGAAAAATAGCGCAAGTGAATTAAATTTAAATTCGAGAATGTGTCTTGTGTATTGTTATTTTTCCCACGAAGGCTGCCTGTCGACACTTCTCAACCTTCCCCACTACTCCGAAATGTGTCCAACTATTCCCGCCACCATCCTCGTCGTCGACTGCCATTCAAAGTCAGACATGTCAGTGGCAAAAAATACTATAGTTGGCTGCACTCTCAGCATCAGCTTGACAACTTCAGCAGTTCAACAATTTTATCGCGAAAAATTCACACTCATGCACACACCTTGCATTTAATGTGTTTTTTCATACGATGTGAGGAAAAACGCATCGCACCATTTCCTCATATGTCGGCCAAAGAGCCGCAAATGACGCGCAACAATTGCAAAAACGTTTTTTAAATTAATTTAAATGCGTTTCTGCATTTCAAATATTCCAATCAAAAGCAAGCAAACAAAATCACATCTCCGCTTGCTAACATAATCCGATTTGGAATCCGATGCTGGAATCCGATTTCATTTAAGACTAACCAAAAGTTAACTGAAGTGACGTCAGGCGTAGGTTATTGATTCACATTTTAAAAAATTTTTAAATATTTAATTAATTAACTTTTTGGTGCCAAGTTTTTCAACACTAATACATTATTTTGTGCCAACCCAAAGATAATTTTTTCTTTTTACAAGTAGATGTATGCTGAAGAACGAAATAATTAAAACATGTTTATATTCAATTGAAAACATTGTTTGCGTGCACTCTACTTTTAAAACTACATAGCTGTATTCAAAGGGCAGAGTTTGAGATATCAAGAGTATGAGACGTTTTTGCAGACAACAGTTCAGGTGCAGTTTCCTTTTAAAATCAATCTAGCGTTCGTCATCAATCCAGGTACTTGAAGATTCCATTGATTTCCTTTCATAAATCCCTAGATTGTTGCATGGATTCAATAGCATTTAGAATAAGTGACATTAAGAGTGTTTGGTTTGTGCCCGACTGAGTAACTAAATAGTGTAAAAGGCGAGTAAGCAGTCCTGATGGCATGTACGAGCATTGAAGGCATCGCGGCGTATACGTAATTTGTGAAGTTAGGCGTAAACTCGCTTAAGTACTGTAAAGAATGAGTAGGTTGTATTGAGCAGCCTCTGAAATAGTTCCAACGTAATCGGCCGAATGTTGCCCAACATAATCTGCCAGTAGAAAAGCATATTCAGATTCTGCACACATACTTGTACAAGTACAAGTACGTATATGTGTACGTGTGTGTAGGTTAAATAAAAGTAAGTACTTGCCGATGCAGGTCTCTGTGCACGCAATATAATTAGTACCATATTTTTTTGTGCTGGCACATCAAAGGCGAACCAATCGGTTTTATAGGCAGCTGTAGCAATGGCCAAGTTCTGCATGAAATTCAAAATTCAATGGAAATTCAATTTGTACGAGAGTGGCACACTCACCTGCTCCCTCAGCTCGTTGGCATACCAATAGATCGCCAGTATTTGCGCCAGAATCATGTTGATATAGGCGCATACTATAACCATTTGTGCTGTTGAGTTCACCTATGAAAATGCACTATTAGTTCAATAGAGTCGATGCCACTTGCCCAACAACTCACAATCAGGAGCATGAATAGCAGAGCACACAGCAGGGCGCCAAAAGCCAAGAATTCCACCAGAAATATGTATGTGGTAAGGGCATTGATTGTGTGTATGTAGCTGTACGTAGCTCAAATTTAATTAGGATATGCTCCCCCATTTGCCGATTCTACAAGCATACTCACTCAATAATGCGCTGTTGATAGCAAATGCACTCAATTATCTCCTCCTTCAGTTTGTTTCGTGTGAGGGACCCTTTGCCCAGGCACTCCAATCGGTGCTGCAGAGCCTTGCACATGACAATGCCAAACATAATAAAGGCTACCATCAGACTGGTGTAGGGTATATACATGCAACAGCCCATGGGCGTAATGAGCATCTGAAAGACATACAACAGCTCATAGTAGGGGCTGCTGTATTCATCCAGGCCGGGAAGTTTGCTGCCAAAGGGCAAGACTGCAAACGATTGCACTAACAATTAACTTGTCGGAAATCTATAGTTGGCATATAATTAATACTACTAATTTAGCCAATCAGTATCGTTAAAGTTACTAAACAGTAATTGAAGGTAAAATTTAAATTAATTTTTCATATCAAAATGCGTACTAATCTATACGAGAGAATATTAGAAGTTGATTTAAATTGACTCAAATGATTTCTGGACATCTCTATTGCAATTTCCATAAAGTGCAAAAGGGTATACTGGTAAGTCTTAACGAAAAAGAAGACCTGACAGATACCTTATTATACTCGTAAGTACCTTCATACCTGTACTATATATTGTCAGCATGACAATAATTGGTTTAAATTGAAATAATGATTAAATCAATTCCAGACACAAGTACTTACACGTATATTTCAAAGATACTATTCGTTGTATAAATAAACCCTTATTTATTGTTACCTCTTACATCTTTAAAGCCCCAGAACAGTTTTAATGGGAATGATTTTTGCATTCAATCATGCGAAGTGGAGCGATCCAACAACAATGCTTACCCCGCTCACTGCCGCTCAAGGGATACAATCCGAATCCAATGCAGGTTAGGAGACCAAAAAAAAGATTGCCTCGCGCCATCAGTTGGCCGAGTCTATTTGCTTGGGTTAGCATGTCAGTTATATAACGATCATTCTGGCGCTGCAAATCAAAGTTAGTATGCCCTCGTGTGTATGTGAGGTCGGGCCTTACTCACGCGGAGCTCGTGATAGGAGCGTCTTAGGTTTTCAATCAGGTCCACATAGCTGTCGTGATCATGAATCAATAGATAGGCGCGCAGCACAGTATTGATCCAAAGAACTAGCATATAGGAGTTGCGTATAATGCCAGTTATGCCGTCATCGGTGCTCAGCATATAGTAGAGTTGTGTAAATACGTGGAAAATGCTGAGGGCCAAGCAAATGCTGTACTTGTAGCTGTTATCATACAGCAATCCCCAAAATCTCAAAATCCAGATGTTCATATAAATCAACTGGATGTCCTCGAACATATTGCTTTAAGAAGGCTATGCACAACGGATTGAAACTTTGCTACTGTTTGGGCCAGCTTGGGCGAAAGGGTCTTTTATATCGCTGCCCAAAACCAGACTGTGCTTCTTTTTTCTTTTTCCTTGATACGCGCCCATTGCACAAGCTCCCAGGCTCATTTGATCCAATTGCACAAAATTGCTGCCAATGATTTGGCATTTCTGGCAGCGTACAGGAATTAAATTGAATGCTTTTGCTATTGAAATATTTTTATGGATTTGCATTTATTTTTGGTCGACTGCACTTGAATTTTTTGTGCATGCAAATCAAGCCAAATTGATTTTTTCGTATTTCGTACGGGCTCACTATTTTTTATGTATGTACTAATATATTACAATTCAATAGCTTAGTTATGGGTGCTTCATCCAGTTCATCCATAAAGCTGACTGGCAACATTTAACGCTCTAAAATTTTGGTAGCTTGTAAGCCAGTTTGTTAGTGGGTTAGTTAGGAAAGGCCGATTATTGGTGATGTAATCGCAAGTAGAATTAGTTGTTGAAAAAATATCAGTAAATAAATACAAGAACAGACGGGAGTATGAATAGCTCAGATTCGGCTCAGGTTTGGGAGCTCTTTCACGCAAGCTTGACGCCAATTATAAAAGCATAAACTTTTCAAATAATAACATTCATTAATTCAAATAATGAATTAATGAATGTTGTACCCAGTATCCAAATCCTTCTGTCCTTCCGCCTGTTCGTCTGTATGGATTTTAGATATAATCAAATTTGGTATGAGGAAAGACAAGTTTGTACAGGGATATAATTGTTGGGGATGATCAACTCTTGTTTGTTTAAGTTTTCAGCAAGAATATTTTGTCAAGTGCTCATTGTCATGAACACATTTAGCAATACATACATTGTACTAGACAAGTAGGATAAATGTACATACATACATATATACATACATACATACAGATAAAGCGCGATAATGTTAATGCGCACCTATCGATTTGATAAGATAAAGCTTAATGAATAACTATAATAAATATATAATTGTGCTCAGAATATAACGTTAAATATATTATATACTCGTACACAGAAGAACGTTTTAAAATGTGGATAAGTTACACAATAAAATAGTTATTGAATCATGGATACATATGAAACAGAAATGAACGAAATATAAACTGACCCAACATACAAATTGTGCGAAATATGATTTCATTTGGATACAATTGTTTACAGATTTGTTTATTGCTGGCTATTTCACAATCCATTGGCCAATTTCAAAATTTTGCAGGCAAGCTATTTCTTTTTATAGCCTATACCCGAAGATTAAAAACGGGTATATTCGGTTTGAGCAAAGCATGTAACAGACAGAAGGAAATATCACCGACCCCATAAAGTATACCTATATATATATTATTAATCAGCATGACGGGAGAAATGTTTGTCTATCTGTTTGTCTGAATGAACGTCTAGATTTCGGAAACGGTTGAGCGCGCATTGACCATTGACATTATTGAGACTATTTTAGTCCTTCATTAACACGAGTATATTTTATTTTTTTGATTTCACCACCCCTTCCTCCGTTACAGAATTTCTAAAGCTATATAACCCAAACATTGCATACATGCGTAATAAGTTTATAATTCCTATGCTTTACATTTCAGCCAAATCGGTACATTTTAAGAAAAGTTATTAAAGTGTCCATTTTACTTCAGTACTACGCCCCCAAACTGCAGGATGAGGTTATCTCTTCGTACCTTTGCTCCTGCATATAACTTAGCGCCGGCAGTTTGTATGGGTACAGGGTATTTCAGTGTCGGGCTTGCTCGACTGTAGCGTTCTCTCTTGCTTATATTGGCTCTCTAAACACACTCGTACATACATACAAACATACGAGTATATGCACATGATACGTCGATTTGCAGCAGCGGAACTATAAACATGGTGAACATATACTCTTGTTTGTCAGTAGTGAGCGAACATATGAGTCGCGCAGGTCGGCGAAAACAAACGAAATGGCTTTTGTAATTATCGCGTTAGTTTTCGCAGCTATTGGGCTGCTTTACAAATGGCTAGTGTCGAAATATCAGACTTTTAGCGAGCGCGGTGTGCCCCATGAAACACCTACAGTGCTGCTGGGTAACATAAAGCTTAAAGCCCTGTTGGGTCTGGAGCCCTTGCTGCAGTCTATGATCGATCAGTATTTGAAGTTTAAGAGCTGCAAAGTGTATGGTGTTTACAATATGCGGGACCCGTTCTTTATACTGCGCGATGCTGAGCTGATCAAAAAAGTTGGCATCAAAGATTTTGACCATTTTGCGAATCATCGTTCAGTGCTCAGTGATTCGAAGGAGCCTTTGATATCGCGAAGTCTCATAGCATTGAAGGACCAGAAGTGGAGGGAGATGAGGAATACGCTGACGCCCTCGTTTACTGGCATCAAAATGCGGGCCATGTACGAGTTAATCAACGCCTGCAGCATTGAGGGGGTCAAATATATTGGCGGGGAGCTTGAACGAAGCCAGGAATTAAATACGGAAGGCATAGAACTGGAGATGAAGGATTACTTTACACGTTTTGCCAACGATGTCATAGCTTCGGCTGCCTTTGGCATCAAAGTGAACTCTTTTGTGCAAAAAGAAAATGAGTTCTATACTATTGGGCAATCGGTGACACAGTTCAAGGGCTTGGCGATGGTAAAGGCGATACTCTACGGCATTATTCCTCGAATTATGACGGTAATTTGCTAAATTATTTTATTATTAAAATTGTTAATTTAATGAATTTATTCAAAAAGGCACTGCGCATTAGGCTCTTCGATCAAAAGAAAATAAACTACTTTAATGGCTTGGTGTTCGATGCTATGAAATATCGCAAAGAACACAATATAATACGACCCGATATGATACATTTGTTGATGGAGGCCAAGCGGCAGTTTGAGGAGCAACAAAGATCCTCCCAAAACACCGGCAATGGGCATCAACACGCAGAGTTCAACGATGAGGACTTGTTGGCACAGTGTTTGCTCTTTTTCTTTGCTGGATTTGAAACCGTTTCCACTTGTCTTTGTTTCGCCACTTACGAGCTGTGCATGAATCCTGAAGTGCAGTCCAAGCTATATACCGAAATCTCAGCAGTGGAGCAGGAATTGCAAGGCAAGCCCTTGGACTACGACACGCTCACAAAGATGAAGTATATGGATATGGTCATATCGGAATCTCTGAGAAAATGGCCGCCAGCCATTGCCACTGATCGGTTGTGCAGTGCGGACATCGATTTGCGCGACGAGAATAATGAGTTGGTGGTCAAGTTGAAGAAGGATGATCTTCTTTTTGTGCCCATTCTGGCCATGCATCATGATCCTGAAAATTTCCCAGAGCCCGAGAGTTTCAAACCAGAACGCTTTTCAGATGAGCAAAAGCATGAGATCAAACCCTTCACGTATTTGCCTTTTGGCGTCGGTCCACGTAATTGCATCGGCAACCGGTTCGCCTTAATGGAGGTAAAGTCTATTATTTACCATTTGGTATTGAACTTCAATTTGGTGCCGGCGGCAAAAACTGTGCGGGATATGTTAAAGAATATAACTGGCTTGCGTTTTCAGCCCAAAGATAAATTTTGGCTTAAATATGTGCCGAGGGAAAGAACCTGAACCAAAAAATTAAAATTTTGATTAAATAATGCACGATACATTTAAAAAATAATTTATGCATATGATCAATGGAAAAACTTCAACAAATCCAACTCAGTTCCATTCTAAGGCGAAATAGTGCGTCATAATAATGAACGTGTGGTCGACTTTATATGGAAAATTTTTTTGTAGGCCTGCCTACGCCCTTGAAAATAGTTAAAACATATTTGAATCTAGTTATAAGTACTGTGTATACCATGTAAACTACAATAGTATACCCTTTTTATTAAAAAAAGTATAAACGAATTAAAATCATTTGTAAGTACTGTAATTCGTATGATCGGTCTACAGAAATATATTTAAAAAACAAGTTTGCAAAATATAATATTTTAAGTAAATATCAAGAGAATTATTGGTCGCAAAAAAATATAGAGATGGCATCAGCACAACAAACATAGACTTTGCTAAATTGTGAGTAAAATTTTAACACTCTACTATCTGTCATTAGTATAGATATGCATTTAAGAAAAGTCCATAACAAAAATTATATGGACATTTTTACAAATGTATTTACAATTATTGATGAACATTTTTTTAGAATGAAGCTATGGATTTGCTTTAATTCAACGAAAAATGGTTACTGTTTGATGTTTTAGTTTAAAAATGCTGTCAGCTAGTGTCATGAGCTGCGCAACGTATGAGCAGTATAAGTATAATAATTGATAAAAACAACTTTACGAATATGTATAGTATGTATGTATCATTAGGCTGATTAGACAACATATGTACACATCGACACACACAACCAGCCGGAATTTAAACAATAAAATTATCCGCTCAGCTGAGCAGCTCGGAGAGGCACAATTTATTTCTATAAACAATGATATAGAGCGTTGACTGCCTCAGTTCTATTTCGCTCGTTGAGCGACGCGTATTCAAAGTGAATGAATTCATGGCGGTGCTTATTGTATTGCTAGTGACAGTCCTGGTCGCTCTCTTAGCATTGCTCTACAAATGGTCGGTAGCCAAGTACGATACGTTTACCCAACGGGGTGTGCCGCATGCTTCTCCGTTGCCACTTCTGGGCAATGTGCCACCGAAAGGCGTAGTGGGCCGCCTGCCATTTTTGCAGTTCATGATTGAACAACATTTAAGATATACGGACCACAAAATCTATGGTGTCTATGCTATGCGGGATCCCCTGTTCTTTATAAAAGATGCGGCACTTATTAAAGCTATTGGGATTAGAGACTTTGATTACTTTGTGAACCATAAGGCAATACCCAATAACTTGCAAGAATCCATACTCTCCAAGAGTCTCATCTCACTGAAGGACCTCGAATGGCGTCAAGTTCGGCACACACTAACGCCCACATTCACAAGCAGCAAGATGCGTGTTATGTTCGAGCTAATCCATGCGTGCAGTGTGCAGGCCATCAATGGCATCGGTGAGAAATTGGAACGCAGCGCATCCTTACACAGCGATGGCATTGAGCTGGAAATGAAGGACGTGTTCACGCGTTTTGCTAACGATTGCATAGCAACTGTAGCCTTTGGACTGCAGGTGAACTCATTTAAACAGAGGAGCAATGAGTTTTATACGGTTGGACAGGCACTGACCCAATTCAGCGCCTGGAGTATGCTTAAAGCGGTACTCTATTCAATAATGCCGAGTGTTATGAAGGTAATATGTTCAGGCAAGAACCAACTTTTTACATCCATATATCAATATTCTAATCGAACGCAACGAGTTCATGTGGGCTGTTTTTCATCCAAAAGCTCTTTTGTGAGATGCTTACAAAATTTCATGAATGTGTATGTGTTTTTATTAGTCGTCTAATTTGAGTGAATGAATCATTTTATTCATGCGATCGCATGCTCAATTGTCCAATTAGGCTTTTGAATTTCCATAATTAAATGGCAACGAATTTTTGCAGCATGTGCGCTCTTTCCCAAAACTCACACCAAACAAAACCTCATGTGTGTGAGGGCGGGAGGGCAATTGTTTTGTCAATTCCGCTTGACGCTTGATGCTGTGGATGGGCGTATTGCTACTGGCAGCATTAAACCGGTTGGCCTAGTACGAGGAGTGTAAGTAGTATATGTATAATACTGTATACCAAACATATTAATTTGGTATGATGTTGCGTCTTTTACCGCCAGCAGCTGCCCCTATACAATATGTAGGTGTATTTATGTAGGTATGCATTCAAAAAAGTAAACATATACGTATGTAGGTATATAAGGTATATAAAGCTAACATACACACATATATACCCAGTACCCGAAAGTTACTTAGCTTTGGGTAATGTATATACAAGTAACAGACAGAAGAAAGCATCTCCAACCCTATGAAGCGTATATTTATTGTACTTTTATCCAGCATGACGACAAATCGATCTAGACAACAGCCAATCCTATAATGATCCAACTTGATATGTCGATTCACATTATTTCTAGGCAATACGCATATTTTCCCCTCCTTCCCCACGTTAGAGTTACACCAATACTGTTTGTTTACACATAAGCTTTTTTATGCTATCCGCTTAGCATCAAGACAATAAATATTTAATTTGTAAGTAGTACAATATACATATACAAGGTGTGTTCCAAAGTAAACAGGACTTTAAAAAAAAACAGAACAAATGTATTTTATTCAAAATAGTCTCCTTCTGCTTCAATATAGCTTTTTGCACGATCCAAAAGCATGTCGAACGAGTGTTTTAGCTCGTTGGCTGGTATGGCCGCCTGTATGCCAGTGCAAGCCTTTTGAATGGCCTCTACGTCTGCATAACGCTTTCCTTTCATGGGCAAATGCATTTTTCCGAAAAGGTAGAAGTCTCAAGGTGCAATATCAGGTGAATACGGCGAGTGGTTAATGGTTCAAATGTGATTTTTGGTCAAATAATCAGTCACAAGCGTCGATCGATGAGATGGATTCTGAGCAATTTTTGGTCGTCAGTCAATTTGTGCAAAACAAACCGTGCACACACCTTTCGTAAGTCCAAATGTTCGGTCAAAATGCGATAAATCGATGTTTTGGAGATGTTCAATTCCATTTCCATCAATATCAATGATGATTTCGGCTGATTTTTGATGAATTCACGCACAGTTTTGATGGAATTTTCGGTGATCACGAATTTTGATTGGCCCACATGTTGGTCGTCATTTATGTCCTCACGACCACTTTGAAAACGTTGAAACCACTCATACACTCTGCTACAGGATAGGCAATCATCGCCATAAACTTGTTCCATCAATTGAAACGTTTCGGTAAAAGTTTTACCAATTTTAAAACAAATTTTCATTTTCGCACCGATAACACAAACATACTGACACTTAAAACGCAATAACTTCACTTCCAATCGATGAAATGCCATGAAATTCTCACTGGACAATCGATAAAGATTCTAGAGCAGATTCTAATGCACCAGTCGACATATAGATAGCGCCACCAGGGGGCGCTAGATTCAAAAGACCTGTTTACTTTCGAATGCACCTTGTACATGTATTTTACCACAGATTTGCAAATGTAACAAGGTTTATTGTTGGTAGACGGCAAATAAGTTAGCTACTCCGTATCAAACACGTATCACGCAAAAAGAACTGAACTGAATCCATAGGGTTAGCAACAAAAACTGATTTAAATGTATGTATGTACATATTTATATGCCAATATTCTTTTCAACAAAGATGCACGAAGTGTAGGAACAATATAGAATACATCGCAGATAAACATTATTATTTCGAACACAGTTCCAATATTTGTATGTTAAGTATAATGCAATCGATAATTATGTAGTTTTTGGATGTATATTTTAGGCTGCATCAGGTACTGATATAAGTGTGATCTGTCAATCTGTAATAGAACAGGCTAAATTAAGGTATTGGCCAAACACATGCTGTAATTTTATCAGAGCTTTTGAAATTCGAAACTAGATTGGTTTTTAAGAGTAATTGGAAATTGCTCATTTATTTCAGCAAGTACAGGGCTTATTTGCCAATTGGGAATTTAGGAAGTTCATCTTTTATGCTGAATGCTGAAAACTGAATGATGTGCCACTGAAATTATTTCAGTGAATTCCTCCTGGATTTATTGTTTACATAAAGATACAATTGTTTTTTGTTTCACCTCAAATACATACAAATACGTATTAACGGCAACTTTTTCTTTAACAGAAATTGAACATTTCAGTTCTCAAAAAGGAACACGTTGATTACTTTAAGAGTCTGGTATTTGATGCCATCAGGCAACGGAAGCAGCAGAATTTCAAACGGCCCGACTTGATACAATTGTTAATGCAGGCTCAGGAGCAGATCACTAGAACAACAACCACTAATGCTGAAGAGAAGCCTGAGGGACTAACGGATGAGGATGTATTGGCGCAGTGTCTGTTCTTCTTCTTTGCGGGCTTTGAGACTATTTCCATTACATTATGTTTTGCAACCTACGAGCTGTGCATGAATCCTTTGGTGCAGTCAAAGTTGTTTGAAGAAATTTCAGATATGCAGAATCACCTAGAAGGGAAACCGTTGGATTATAATGATTTGAACAAAATGGACTATTTAGATATGGTCGTATCGGAAACTCTGCGTAAATGGCCAACCGCTATTGCCACAGATCGTGAATGTGCCAAGGATTATGATTTGCGAGATGAAAACGATGAGGTAGTGCTATCGTTGAGAAAAGGCGAGGTCGTGCAAATACCTATATTTGCATTACACCATGACCCCGAGAATTTTCCAGAGCCTCAAGAATTTAGACCGGAGCGTTTCTCGGATGAACACAACTCCGAGATCAAGCCGTATACATATTTGCCATTTGGTTTGGGCCCACGTAGTTGTATTGGTAAGTGTTTTTTAAATCTTCTTTGTCTTTACATTTTAATAAAAGTGTGAGAAATTGCAGGCAACAGATTGGCAGTAATGGAGCTCAAGCTTATGATCTATAACTTAGTATTGGATTATAATCTGTTACCGGCGACTAAGACGGTTACAAATATGCTCCAGAGCATTGTGGGCTTCCGTTTGCAGCCCAAGGAGCTCTTCTGGCTGAAATGTGTGCCACGGAAAACTAATTGAATCATAGTGGTAAAAACTATCGTCGAAGTTTCACACCAAGTCGCTCCTTAATTAATCAAGGCGTGCTAGTTTAATTAAAACTTATTTGTAGTTTGAAATGCTCGCTACAATTTTCATTAATCAAGTCAAAGTTCAAGTGGTTTTGCAGAGAGTGTGCTTTGTGCGCCTTAATTTATATTTTCTAAGGCAGCTGCAAATGTTTTAGTTAATTAAACGTCAATTATGTCAAATGCAGTCTTGTGGTCTTAAGTCGCCTTTGAAGTGGTCAACTAATAATACAGATATTGAAGGGGAACTTGCAGCGCAACAAAGTCCGACTGTATCCTTTTTTCAAACTAAAATAGATGAGAAGTGACATTTATGCATTCGAATCCATTAGTAGCTCTACTTAGACTTTTCGCACAAACACATACATAGCAGTAACGAATAAAGAATAAATATATACTTGTATTTATTTATATACATATATATATAATACCTATCAAAATGGCCGCAACATTTGCAACTGACTGCTGAGCAGTTTAATTTTTGGAAAAGTATTTTGCCAAACTTTTGACATTTTGTTATTTATGTGCTTTTAGGTATTTAGGCGAAAAGTTTGTGTTCTCCGTTTGTTTCTGGACAATAACTAAGCAGTTAATACGATATTGATTTATTTGCTGGCTGGCCTCTCCTTTTTGTTGTTTTTCTTGTTTGAGGCCAGCAGCTGTTACCAAATAGCTATGTAAGATAATAAATAATATGCCAAAATGGCAGAAGGAGGCTGTACAAAAATGTATGCTAAGCTGCCTCCGCCAACACAAAAAGAAACAAAATAATATAAACAAAAACCAAAAATAAAATAAAAGCAAAGTTGACTTTTGATTCTCATTGTGGATTATGCATAAATTTGCACTCAGCCAAGCAATTCGCAAGTCAAGTAAACTTTTTCTGGCGCCTTCTCCAAGTTCATGAATTCGCTGTTTGATTTATAAAGCAGCAGACGATTAAGCTTTGATCTTGCGTACATTCTTTGCATAACTTTTAAAAGATGCCAACTAAAAAATTTCGAATAGCAAAAGTGGTGCAGACAAAGTGCAGAATGCATAAAAAAATAAGAGCCAAAAGTTATTATCAAAAGGCTGCAAACTTTGCAGCTCAACTTGGACGGCATCTTTGACAAAAGGCGCCAAAAACTTCAATTTTTGCATTTTCTGCATTTTCTGGACCCACTCACCCAATAGACATGAGCAAGTTGATAATTATTTTTGCTTCGCTGACGGTCAGTCTCAGGCGTTAGTAAATACGAGAATGCAACAACAAAAACAACAAAAATTACTTAAAATTTTTACAAAATGTAACAGTTCCAAGGACTTTAAAGCAAGAACTTTGTAGATCTCACTTTTTCTCCGTGATGCTTTGTTTTCCTTGTAGTTCTTGCTGTAGATGTTGTTCTTCTTGCTTTTGTTGTTGTGGAATGTTGTTGTCATCATTCATATGAAGCGAGGCTTAAGTGCACACTTAAATACTTGCTCGACTGCGCTAGCTGCGCGTAATTTGTAACTGCGGCTGAGCCTGAGGCCTTTGCCAACCACTGGGCACACCAGTTGGTAGCTGTTGGTTGCTCGGACAAATCCCTTAGATACAAGCAGCTTGACCGCAAGTTGACCCATTTGCATAATTATTCATTGCACAGCATTATGAGCATAAATAAAATGGCTACCAAACACACATACACACACACACACACACACACACACACATATACATAGACATGCCTTCTGTCACACACTCGTACGCACATAATAAACAATAGTTGTTGTGCGTGTGTGTACATGTGCGTATGCGTATGATATGTGTGTGTGTGTGTGTGCTTGTTGCGGTTGAGCTGCGCTTTCCTTCTTATTTATTGTTTTGCATTTCAATGCTGTAACGTTTTTCTTTTCTTTGAAGATTCTTTCTTCGCTTGCATATGCTTTGTGGCAGCAGCATTGCGCTTTCGTTGCCACTCATGCGGTAACTGCAATTTAGCTATGCTGCACTATATACTGTTGAAAGATTTAACATGCAAATATTGAGTTTCAGTTAAAAGCGGGTTCAAAGGCACTCATCATTGAAAATCGAACACAAAAACAAATTCTTGTTAAAATGTGCGTATCACAATAAAGCGTACAATGGCTTTTACTTTACTTTTTGAGAAAATACACCAAAGGTTATCATTTTATTTGCTTTGAGAATACGAATCACAGATAACAAATCTATTTTTATTATAATTTACAATTAGTGTAAGATAGTTAGAAGAGCAACAATAATTATGGGGACCAGTAGATGCTGTCTAATTATATACGTAGGGTATATGTTAGAAAAAGCTAAAAATGTTTGTAGTTATATTTCTTACATTAAGTTCTACGAGTATGTCGGCTGAATAAAAACCCGTTGAATTCTGAATATTTCAAATCCAAACCTCAGCTTTTCAGCTAGAATAACAATTTTATTTGTATAGATTGGTTAGTTAGTTCATTGTAATAAATGATTTGCCATTAGACTATTAAAAAGAGTTCAGTATGAAGGCGTATGTATCTATATATAAATATATACAAAAGTTTTGTGTGTACAAACATAAAAGGTTTTTTAGTGTGTCGGAAAATGGAAATGCAGAGAAATGCGCAAGCTTAGATTTCAGTTGATGTATTAGTGAGCACAAAGCTAGAAAAGTTGAGTGAAAATTTCAATTGCCAAGTGACTTTCGTGGAAAATATAGTATTTCTGTGCTGTACAATTTTTAGCATAGAAGTGTGTGGTTTTGCAAATGTAAGGTTACAGTCTTTGACTTTAAGCTGCTTATAGTCAGTGTTGGCCAAATCACGTCAACAACAATTTATTATCAATTTATAGTAATGCAATGCAGCTGTTAAATATCGGCAGCAATCTTGTAAATGTAAGTATGGATTATTTCTATTCAATATTTTACAAAATTTAAGCCAGATTTGTGCAGCTTAAGTTCATAAGATACATGTTTATATTCGACATGTCTATATTTGGTAATAGGGAAAATGATATAAAACCATTACAGTGTTGGCTGCAAAAGCAATTCAAATGACAGCCAATTGCTGGCTTTGTGGTTTGGTAAATGTTAAGCAGCTTTTGACTTATTGTGTTACAATATACATATATCTACCAGCATTCAACCTGTTTCATTAAATAGTAAGTGCTATTTATTACAATTGCAATGCGCCTCATATCTAAATTATAAGCAAATACTTTTTGCTCTTATATGCTCTTAAATATTGTGCAAGTGCTCTTAACGCACGAGAATATTTCACGCTCTTTAGTTTATAATCAAATCTTTGTTGCGCTCTTATTCACAATTTAAGAGCATTGTGTGCATTTTTAGCACTCTTTATGTGTAATTATTTGAAGTAATGCGATTAATTTGTACATCAACAGATTCGTATAATTTGATTTGAAGTGACCGAATAAACTAATACCCTCTGATCGGCAGCCATTTGCAAAATATGAAGACCTTTTTCATTTACATAATTTATTCATTGTTTGCTCAAACCTTCTAAATAGCATGTGCATCGCTTCCACATTTTAACTTTTAAATGCATGAGTGAACTTTTAAATGAATATATTGTATTAAAGAAATGGCTGACATTAGAGCCACCGTCAAATATTTAAGTACAGAAAATAAATTCGATAAAAGGTGGCAACCAGTTGGCAAAAGTCAGTCCTTGTGCTTGACTTTTTATGAGATTCTTCCCCATTCACGAAAGCAATAGCAACTTCAACTTCGAGGATGCTTAGTGAGTTTTTCCCTATCCCCTTCCACCGTAGCCTGTCCCTTTTTATGCACACAACAAAAGCACTTAAAAAATCAAAATCGTAAAAAATAATGTTAATTTCAATATTGCCCAATTAAATGCATATAAACGTGTCATACGCTGCGTATGTGTGATGCAATAAATGTGCGCTTTGGTATTTGTTCATTTGGCTGCTTTTTAAAACATTTGATGCTCGTTTTAAATGGCACGATGCCATGAAATTTAAATAAAAATGTGCTTTTATGTAATATTTAGGCACATCGTCTGGCAGATGTTTCCAGTTTCCGTTTGCCGTCCCGTCGGCGATTCAAATGCTGACAAAGAAGTGCGCTTTAAAGTGGGCGGGCAAAGAGCTCGACCCACACAACCACATGCATATACACGCACAGTTGTCTACATATATGTAGGTAGGTATGTATCTACACACATGTACATATATAAATATACATATATATGTATATATTTTCAGACGTTTATAGCCGCATACGCAGACGCCAACACATGCTGAGTATGAAAACGAGCGGGAAATGTGACAGGATGTCATTTGGCTACGCATCCGAAACATAAACACGCTGCTGGCATCGAAGCAGCCGTCATCGTCATCCTCATCCTCGCTGTTTTTGTTGTCCTCCCTGTCCTTACGCGCCTTTTGTGCCTTTTGGAAATTATGCTGCTAAAAGGCGGCAAATGTGTGTATTAGTATACATACTCTTATGAATGGGTTTGGGTGTGCAGGCGTGCGTCACACGTATATATGTACATATGCACATATGTATGCATGCATGTATGTGTGTGTGTGTGCGTTCAAGTTTTCGGAAGACAAGCGCAACTAGAAAATTTGCATAAGTGTTTGTCGTCCGTTTCCTGGCACCATAAATGCTATTTTCGAGCACATATGTATTTACACACATATATGTAAGTATGTCTTGTATTGAGTATAAAGCCGTGAAAAATGGGTTGGCACCTGTTGCATTTAACGTGACTTAAATTATTGATGAGGCATGGCGGCACATTTTATTTGCCAAGTGACAAATAGTCACTAAACAAGTGACTACCTTTTCATAACGATTTACGTTTATCACACCAGAGAATTGGGTTACGAATTAGCATCTGACCAGAAAGGATGCATAATATCCATATAACGGCAAAAACTTTTTGTCAACATGTATTATATTCATAATTGAAATTATGTATTGGAGAATAGTATATCTAGAAATAGTTGGGTAAATAAAAATGATCTAAAACCTTATAATCGATTACATTGTAGCTAGAAAATTTAAGCCCTTGCTAATGGAACGGCTTATACAAAGAATGCTTTTAATACATATCCTTCAAATAAGGCTTAATATAGTTCCCTGATTAGGGGAAAGGCAGTAGAAGTAATCCAAACAGACAGATAAATAATTTCTAACCTATTTTAATATGCCTCTCATTTTATTCAAAATGCTTTTTATTTAATTCCTATATCTTCTTTCTACTTTTACAATATACTTTTAGGGTGGAGAGAGTTCTCCTAGTTGCCAAAAGTGGCGTTTGTTCGTTAAATTAAAACTCAATTTGTTTCACCACAGAAAATAGAATGTATTTGTGTCTTATGTAAATTGTAGTTGACTTTTTGCCAAAGCCACAATTCAAATATGCACATAAATTAACTTTATGCATGGTTATTCTTTATTGACACATAAAAATGCCTCATTTACCCATTAGTTCGAGTGAATTCAAATTAAATGAAAAGATTTAATATAAAAGCAAGGTCTTTAAAAACAAGCATATTGTGAACAATATCAATTTTGAAATATTTATTAACAGTCATGCACTACTCTATATTTTACGGATTAAGTACGAATGTGACAGTCTATTTCTAAATAAGCAATAATTTGTATTTATATTGCCATAATATTTTTCCATT